CATGGAGAGCACAGGGAATAAATAGATATTTCTCTGAGAGTGAAGTGTTTGTAGCCACAGTCTGTAGTGTGAAACGTCTCATTTATTTCAATAAGAATTTTTCTAATTCTGTGCATTTTTTTTACCTGATTTCTCTGCTGAAAATGAGTCAGATTTTCAAATCTTGAAGGCAAAAAGAATGAAGTAAAAAAAAATAGCAGTGCTGTCACTGTCAGAGGTTCCCGTGCCTCCTGACGGGCAGGGCCGGTGCTCGGGGACCTTCACTCCCAGTAGAGAGTACTGGGCTGAGTCCAGCACCCGCTCCCTGGTGTGTTTGCATCCTTCCTTTCTTGTGCCACCAAACTGAGACAAGCATTAAAAAAAACAAGTGAAAGCAAGAACTATAGATTGAGGCAGAAGGAAACTGTTCCATGAGCCTCATAACGATGCAGAGCAACCCTGCGGCAGCCGATCACACGTATGTGTTCCTTGCATCCAGACAAGTGTGCAGCTAGAATGTTCAGCCCATTCTTCAGTTGCTCAGGACTTCTCCCCAAATATGCTCCAGCTCCCTGTTCCTCCTGCCTGCTTTGACTTGAACACTGAATTCTTCTTTAATTTGTCATTCATCGTTGGGGAGTCGATCGGGCTCCTTTCAGGATGCATTTCAGGCATCAGAGGGAACAATCATTCATTTCCAAAAATGCTAGAAATGCAGTAATTAAATACAAAGTAGATTGAAGCAGACCTGAACAGACCAAAATTCACAACCATTGAATTTTCAATCCCTAATACAATTATTTTTTTTTCTCCCCAGACAGGTTTTCCTTCTTCTCTCTACCCAAGAACTAAACCCCAAGTGCAGGGCAGCAGAAACCTGAGTTAGAATATTCGGGTCCAACTCATCTCTCAAAAAAATACTTCCAAGCCAAAATCAATGTCAACATTGAATTGAAGTAATTTCTAGCAATAGCTTCACTTCCTTTTCTCTGTAGATGGAAAGAATTGCCTCATGCCTCTCATTCTGCCTACCAGAAAAAAAGCCACGGTGCCCTATCTCCCAGGGCAGGGAAAAGAGAGTGGGGAATCCAGGACTTGCATTTGTGCTTTGGAAGTTGCTTAAATTTTCTCCTTAATTTAATTAATTTTTCAAAGTGCACCATGGCAAGGCAAGTGGCTTCTTTATTGATTGATTGGCAATCCTGGGCTGCTTTGCTTTTCTGCAGTGAAACAAAAATGCAAACAAAATCTTTATGGAGCAATCATTCTAGTTTAGAGAAGATAAGCAGGGTTTTTTTCTAGAGGTATTTGGGGATCAGAGACTTGAGATCCAGTGTTTGTCAGAAAACAGGAGCTGCATGGAGTTCTTTGTCCCTCCTCTGATTGGCATGCATTGTGTCAATTCATGGAAAAAACATATATATATTTATCCACACGCCAAGTTGGTGCCTCTGGTAATAATGGAGGTGCTTTTTTGCCTTACCTAAGGAACAAGTGCAGACTGGAAAGTTATTCACCAGCCTTTGTAGGTCAACTTCTTCCATGGAGCTTTGTTTCAATTGTCAGATCATAAAGCCACGAAGGGTATGGCTCGTGTGGCGTGTTCGGAGCGCTGGTAACAAATGGCACATTTTAGCATTTGGTCCTCTAGGTAGAAAAAAAAATTAATCAGATGTCTGACAAGGTTTGTTACTCGTCTCTATTTCAGGCTCCTTTTTTTTTTGATTCTTCTTCTTTTTTTTTTTTGCTTTCAATATTTCCTCCCCACACCCCGCTCCCCCCCCTCATTTTCCTGGCTTACAGCAAATATTACTAACGGGTACTTTTAGGTTTTAAAATATGGACAACAGTACTCCATGCAGTAAAAGACTTGAACGATTAATGCTACCCTTATGCCTCTTTTGAGTAGTTTTAGCCATGGGGCTTGGCACTGCCACCATTGTCTTTGTGCCAAAAAATATCCGCAGCGGCTGCCGCATTCTAGTACTAGAGGGTTGTCTCGAAAATTCCGCAGTGAATGCGTCGGGGTGTCTACATCGCTGTAGATACTCTCTCTTTTTTAAAACATTTTGCTTTTTGAAATATGAAAACAACCAAAAAAAAGAAGAAGGAAAAAAAAAGGGGTGGGGGAGGGGGTCGGGGAGCGGGAAGGGAGAATCTTGAGCTCTCGCAAACCTCGGAAAAGGCACCGTAGCGGTTGGGGCGTTGGAGCGGCTGGAAATGATGCACAATGTACAGTAAACGTGGAAATTCAGGGGATGCTTTTGTATTTGTGAGCACAGATAGTTGCTGAAAGAGCCGACTCTTGCGTGTTATCAGCACTCCCGCAAATTTTATTATCTGAAACAAATGTGCCAGTGAATTTTAAGCAGAAAATCAACATCAAGACTGTAGCTAATTTTAAACGGACAGTTTATACAAAAGATATTCCCCCCTCCCCAAAAGGAAGTGCCATTACAAAAAGTATTATCATCTCATAATTACAGTTGAGAGTGAAAACCTACGTATGTCTGTCTCCTTAATGGTTTCTTGACTTTCTTTTTCATGAATTTTGGATATTCTGAATCGAGGAGGCAGCTTTCTGGCTGCCTGTGGGAACGACAGCAACAAATGTAATAAAGTTAAAGGCTTAGACACGAGCAGAACGAAATGTGTTCACTCGCGGTCTCCCAAGCTATCTTGTTTGGTGGTAAAAGTGGATGCTAGAGATGAAATCTTTACAAGGAGCATAATCCTAAAAAAAAAAATAAAAAAAAAAATCCAAAAAAAAAAAAACCACAGGAAAAAAAAAGAGAAAAAAGTCAATCTCCTGCTGGCTGCTGTGCTGCTTTGGTACCTCACAGACTTCGACAGAGTCCTGGACGAGTGCCCATTGATGTCATGGAAACACTCAAATTACTGAGAATGATTCATGTCTATGCTGTTCTCTTATCCTCCCCCACACAAATAGAAGTAGATTTTAACCCTGACAACTTGTAATTTGCAGTGGGTTTATTTTTGTATCTGGATAAATATTTTTTAACAACTGAAATTAAGCTGAGGCTGCCTGTGTCTGATCCGATGGCAAAGCAGATTCCTGCCGCCCCGGCAGCAGCCGGAGTCGCCTGCAAAGTACCTTGTGGTGCTGCTTCTACTTGGTTCCCCTCCACCCTATTTTTCTGTTTGGGGTTTTTTTTTCTACCCCCCCTCCCCTTCCATCCTCACCACTTATTTGCATCGACTTTCTGGCCCTCTTGGGGTGACGGGAAGTAGCACACGGAACTCCAGGCGTGCCAGCGAGACATTTTGTTCTCAGATCTCGGGGTTGGACTCGGAGATTCACAATTAAAATTTCATCGCCATTTCCATCTTGAATTATTTCTGCCAAGGCTCCCAGTGCTCTGAACCTGAGGGGGGCTGTGGAGGGAGTGATCTATCATTTTTGTATAACCAGATACAAGTGCTTTCAAAAGTTATTGCATGTGCAAATGTCCTATGAATTGCAAATATATTTTGGAGGTTCCCTTCTATAAGTAACTACTTGATGTGGAAAACAACAGAAACAATTGAGCAGCAAAAGCAAGCTCTGTAGACTTACACTATCATGGGGAGAAAGAGGATTTATTTTTTATTCCAAATCACTCCCTATAGTCAAACTTTATCAATTAATACCTCTAAATGGCAACCAAACCTGGGAACTGGATATGAAAGGGAAGGTTTGTGGAGCCTGAACGTGGACACACCATTTTGGGAATGCTTTAAATGAACTCCATCAGCCTTTGTCTAATGATCTGCCTCGCCGGGTCCTGTATGAAGTCAAAATGATGTGGGGGCACTGGAAGGGACATGCCAGATAGGGACCCATCACCCACCATATTCCAGCCTCTGGAGTTTGTTGTCAGTAGATGCCGTCGTTATTATCAACTGATCTTTCCAAATGCAGTTTAAGGACATTTGTAATGGCTTAGGCAGGTGTAGAGAGGGTTTGGTGCAGGGCTGTCACCTTCCTCTGGTAGAGAGGGGGGTCCACAGCCCCACAGACCTGGCTCCGAGGTGCAGAGGGGTCCCCAGCATTGCTGGGACTTGCAGGCAGAGATAAACTGAGCATCTGGTCCCTGGTAACTAGGACTGTGTGTTGTGGGTTTTATGCCCCAGCCTGTAATAGAAACTTTATTTTACGAGTGATTTTTACTGTGCTCTTGGATGTTTTGTTAGATAATTCCTCCCCCCTCCCGTGATTATCCTCACCATAAGGGTGGTCTTTTAGTGTCAATATGTTTTGTATCAGCCCTCTTGACTGCTCTTTGTCTCGGGAGCACGTGGTGCGGTGCTGCTCAGCCATGACTTAATGCTTTGCAGAAACCACCTCTTTCCTTCTTGATTTTGCTCGAGTCTGGCCATTCAAACCTGAAAGAACCTTTCTTCTCCTTTGTAAATATGGCACAACCGTAACCGGTACTGCCCGTCAGGCTGTTGGAGCTGAGTGTTGAAGGCTTCCTGGAAAAAAGAGGGGGGGGAAAAAAGGGTACTTACTGCTGGTAGAGAGTCTTGCCAGTCGTTGGGCTCAAGTCCCAGCACTGCTGGGGCAGCCCCAGCCTCAGGAGTGAAAGGCCAGTTCCCAACCAGTGCCTCTCTCCCAGGTGTGAATTCCAGCCGCACCTTCATCCCGGGGGGAATTTGCTCCTGAGAAAGAGGGGTAGGGAACCACAGCCCCAACAGCTCCTGGGCAAAGCTGGCAGTCCCCCAAGGGGCTCACCGTGTCCCCAGCAGGCAGTGGGACAGGGTGCCCAACCCTATCCCAGTTCCAGGAAGTGTGTGGAGCAGTGCAGCCGATTTAGGAACTTTATTTCACATTCCATTCTCAGCGTGAAGAAATGCTAAGCCCTTGCTGTTGCCTCCGTGCGTTAGGCAGTCAGCAGTGCTTATTTTACATATGTAAACAGCATGAGGAAAAGGTGGAGAACATACAAAGTGCTTGGAGAAGCTGCAAAGATGTGTTGGTATCAGTTCTACATCTGTTGTTTTTTTTTTTTTGTTAACAGGTAAAACAGAAAGGGGCTCATACTCATCCTATGGAAGAGATTCGAATTTACAGGGTTGCCACCAGGTAAGTGGAAGTCTGCTCAGCAGAGGGGTTGTGATAAATGCTCTGATCAATGAGGTTTTCTTCTTGAAGTTGTGGATCTTGGGGACAGGCTCCAGCACAAGCAGTGGTGGCTGCCAACGTGCACTCCTCAGAAAGGGGCTTTCTTTGCCAATGCAGGTTTGAAAGCTTCGTGCCTGAGCTTTTCTAGCCAGGATACTGGAGACCAGTAGTACTTGGGCTGAACTAATACCCCCCCTAGTCAGGGCTGCTGGGAACTATTGATTCCTGTCCCTTCAACAAAGCCTCACTGTTGGGCCTCCCAACAGCCCCAGTCTGGAGGTGACACCGGTGGCAACGCGGCAGCGCCGGTGTCAGCCCCCGGCTCGGGGTGGCTACTGTCATCAATTCCAGTTTTCATCGAATCTGTATGATGTTGTGTGAAAACAAGGTTGTATTGAGGGATAAAAATGTCTGTGAAAATATGATTTGTTGTCCCTTTTTGTTTCTGAATTGTTTTTGGCTGGAAGTCAAGGCCAGCAGGCTAACAGCAAAGCCGTCTCGAGGGAAGCCTGCGTGAGCTAGAGAAATAAGAGTAGTTTAATTAAATAATAAAATGCCAATGTAATACAAAGGTATAGCATGTGTGCGCCTCTGCCTCTCTGCACTTTGCATTTGCATACTTTTAAGTCTCCAGAGAAAGTCTGAGTCTAAAAATACTATCAATAGCCAAAAGTCTGTGCTTTGTTTCAAGACAATTGTTGTGCGGTTTGTTTTTAGAGGCGCTTTCTTTTTCATTTCAGGAGCGATATTAATCGTGGGTTCAAATTCATTTTGTTCTTGAGGAGTGCTAGGCTGCCTTTCCTTTCTTTAAGTGCCCTAGCTTTGCACTTTGGAAAACTATTGAGAGAATTTAACAGCCTCCTTAATATTAAAAAGCTTTATACTGTTCAAATCTGCCAGGGAAAAAAAAAACCACAACAACAATGCTACGATGAGAAAACAACCCAAAAAACCCAGCCAAAATGCATATTATTTCCCTGTGGGAAAGGGAAATACCTGATCCCCTCTTTCCTGTTGTATGTCCATGTTCTTCAACAATGTGGGGAACCAGTTTATTTGTCTGTTGTTTGCATTTTTAAACATTTAGTGCAGAAAAATGAAACTGCTTGAGCAATGAGAAGGGCATTTCCATTGGCAGTGTGCAGATGTGAGCCACCTGCAGGGGCTGGAGCCTGGGGCTGGGCTCTCAGCTGATGGTCCATGCCCCTACCTTCTGCAGCCCTGTGGCTGCACCAGGAGCATCCTGGCTCCCACAGCTGGACATGCTCCTGTGGATGGACAGGTTTCCATGGATGAATGGGTTTCTATGGATGGGTAGGTTTCCATGGATAGATGGGTCTCCATGGATGGACGGGTTTCTGTGGATGGATGGACTCCCATGGATGGATGGACTTCCATGGATGGTTCAGCTCCCCTGCATGGACAGGCTCCCATGGATGGATGGGTTTCCATGGATGGATTGGTTTCCGTGGATGGATAGGTTTCCATGGATAGATGGGTTTCTGTGGATGGACAGGTTTCTGTGGATGGAGGGACTTCCGTGGATGGTCCAGATCCCATGGATGGTTCAGCTCCCGTAGATGGATGAGTTTCCATGGATGGATGGGTTTCCATGGATGGATGAGTTTCTATGGATCGATGAACTTCCATGGATGGACAGGTTTCTGTGGATGGATGGGCTCCTGTGGCCAGATGGATGCAGCCATCCAGTGCAGGGAAGCATCCCAGGAAGGCAAGCAGTGGCAGTGGCAGAAAACTGGGCCATGAGCCCCACATCCTTTCTGCCAGTTTTAGAAGCCATTTCTAGCTAGTTCTCTTCTAAATCCTCAGATGGTTTTGCTTTCTGTTGCTGGGAGGCAGCAGGGTGTGTTCCTTTCCAGGGCTTGCAGAGGTTGGGGATCTTCTAGTACCCATGCAAGAGTGAGTCCCACCTCCTCAGCAGCTCCAGCCTTTTGGAGATCCTGCTCTGCTGCTCTCTTGGCTCTGCTGCCATTTCACATTGCATCTGGAAACTCACCTGTTCTTTGCTGTGTTTTGCATTTAGTTTTTCTTTCACTGTGTTGGCATGATCTCCCGATGCTGCAAGGAAGGTGGAAGCTGTTTCTGAGTTGCAAATGGCATTAGACCTCAAGAACTTACATGGTCTTTGTGTGCCTTGAGCTTGGAGGCTTCATGTGACTCATCCACCTCTTTTTTGCACACCTGTATCTGGGGATACTTGCAGGGCACAGATGCATCACTTATTCCAAGAAACAAGCCCATGAGTGTCCTGGTTTGAGAGGACCAGGGTCAACATTTCCTGTAACCACACATACTCTAGGAAATACAAACACCTGATTACTGGCTAAAACCATGACAGATTGAATGCATTTATTCTTTTTTCCTGGATGGTAGCAATGAGCAAATAATGTTTTACACTAGTGGACCAGTTCTGGAGCTCCCTCAGAGCTCAGTTGGCACAGACATGGTCAGCTCTCTGGGTGGATCCTTGATTGCATCTACGTGGCAGCACTTACTGTGTGGGGTCAGTGAAGAACTGATGCAGAAAACCCTACCTACCCACTCTCCTTTACTGTGCTTTCATTTGTGAAAAGTTGAGGATATTAGGAAAATACTACCAGAAATACCCCCAAAAATAAAAATTCCCATCCATGGCACAGTGTGTCTTTCTGCCACATGCATCTGTTTTTGTGAAGGCTCATGGAAAAGTGGATGAAGCTGATGACCAGGGCCCAGACAGAAGGAGAAAAAGTGTTTCTATAATAAGAATCTTTCAAATTCCTGAAAGGTACAGAAGGAATTATGCTTAATGTTGAGGCTGGACCATCTGTTGTCTGTTCTCCAGGCTGCAGAACTATCAGGATCCACCAAATTATTAACAACTATGAACCTTCAGGCTGCAAAGAAAATTAAAAGCTACAAGCCTGTTGTGGGATTTCTGGGATGTGTGTTCACACGTATGGAGAAGGATTAGCTTAGCTAGACAGAAGATTTGGATGAGAACTTGGTGAATTCCAAAGGAAATATTGGTGGGGCTGTGGCAGGTCGTTGAGGATCCCCTGGAGTCTGGAGATAGCTGAGGGACTGGAGGAGCAGGAGCTGTGTGAGCTCCTTTCTCCTAAGCCCAGGAGGAGCGTGCAGATTTTGTTGATTTCTGAAAGGTAAATTGCTACCTCCAGATGTGATGCATTGCTCTCTGTAGATGAGTTCCTGGAACAATTAAGGAAAACTAAATACCTAACGATATTGAACTTGCTACCTATTAATCTTCTGGTAGGAAAAAAACCCAACAACCTGACTTCACACAAATAGCAGCAGTGATGGGAGGTTTCATCCCCGCGCTGTCTTCACACCAATGAGAGAAGAGGTCAGATCTGCAGCAACCCATTTACTTCCAGATGATTTTTCTTTCCGAGCCTAGGGCCCAATTGGGCTCTCACTGAAAACCATAGCAAATACAACACTGATTACAATGGGAATGGAAGAAAGCTCATCTTGGGAACTATTTAATTCCATTAGAGAGAAGTCGTCTAAGAAACATGTACCGAAGTTGTTGTCAAGACACTTTTGAAACACTGGCTTCATTCAAGTTAATGACAAAAATCTCATTTCATTCCGTGAAGTCAGGATTTTGCCTGTTGTCTTAATTCTGTGCCTCTTACCATTTCCCCCAAGATCAGTCCTTTTTTTACATTGTGCTGGGTTTGGGGAGAGGGGGGTTAGCAAGGCAGTAGTATTAAAAAAACAACATACCTGCTCCATTTCTCCAACTTTATCCTGGTTTCTTGTATTGCTCTGTGTCGGGTTGGGTGCTCAGATTGTAAGTGGGGGCCTGCACGTGGTGGTGAAGAGCAACACATCTGCTTCTTGATTGAGAGAGCTTCATGGAAATCAGCACCAGCAAGAGGTAATGGCAGGAAGAGATAAAAGAAATTATTTGGTAGGAGAGCATCAGCGGCTGCAGAGCAGGGGCTGGTGTGAGGGTGTGTGGGAGCAGGGAGATGCTCCTGAGGACAGTGAGCTGTGTCAGACCCATGCTTGGGTTTCCAGCTGGAGAGGAGCTGTGTTAATTTATAAACCAGTGATATTCCATAGTGCATGAGGATCTGGATGCACAAAATGCTATGATTAGGCTCAAGGTAACGTGTGCTGCTTGCAGGAGTGTGGATCCACTAGTTGGTTACTAGTTGATGTGACCAACTTAGAGTAATCCAGAGCTGTTGTGCTGTTGTGTGCAATGGTTAATGCAGAAAAGCAGTGGCTGAGGAGAACTTTAAAATGAACCTGATGGCCAAGAAACATACACCATGATTTCCAAGGCAACACATGAGATTGTATGTGGGAATAAATTAGGCAATCCTTTGAAAATTTGGATTATGCCTCTTTGGCAAAGGCACAGTAAACTTAGCTTTTAAGGTGTTTTAACTTGAAGCTAAATCCCCAAATCCTAAAATGACTCGTTTTTACTACTAAGTCTTTTTAGAAAGTGTGTCTAAATGTTGGTTTTGGATGTACTGATTTACTTAATGTTCAAGAAATACTCTTGGAGGCCAGTTGGAACCCTCCCACTGTAAAAAGCTGACTCTGGAATGAAGTGTGAAGGTAGAAGCTGGTGGAGTTGTACAAACTCAGCCAGCATTTTTTATTTGTTTTCCTTTTATTTTTTAATAAAACCCAACTGCTACCCAAGCACAGTAACTTTCTCCAGATTGAGATCAGATCTGCTGGCCTTCAGCTGGATTCAAGATACCGTGGTGGAGAGACAGGCCATGCTGATGTAGGCACGGTGCTCAACTTGGAGCTGGTTGCAGCTTCAGCCTGAAGGAGCAGCATTAGAGGCTGCAACAAAATGGTTCCTTTGTGCATTCACAGTGCCCGAGGCATCCATGGGCAGCCCACCCAGACCTGCTGCAGCTCCTGGCCTTCCCAGGGTCTCCTGAGGGACTGTGGTGGTGGCAGTT